TCTCAAATTTTTTCAGATTTTTTAATTGAAGGCAATAGCTTCTAGGGTCGAAAAATGCTTTTTTTAACAAAAAACGGTATCTAGAACCCGATGGTTCTGGTAAAAAAATTTGAAAATATTTTTTTTTAATTCCTTGTCAAATTTTAATAAATTTTGACCGCTTCAAAAGTTCGATTGAAACCTCCTAGCTCAATGTGGAGCATGAAACTAGTTTAATCATTCCTTAATGTCTTCAGAAACGTCTTCAGATATTTTGCACTAATCTTTGTCCTGCTCTAGAATGAGCTAGAAAGCTTCAATCGAACTTTTGAACCGGTCAAAATTTATTAAAATTTGACAAGGAATTAAAAAAAATATTTTCAAATTTTTTTACCGGAAGCATCGGGTTCTAGGAACCGTTTTTTGTTAAAAAAAGCATTTTTCGGCCCTAGAAGCTATCGCCTTCAATTAAAAAATCTGAAAAAATTTGAGATAATGTATTTTGATGAGAAAAACAAGAAACAATTTTTTTCAGATTTTTCGAGGCTCCGTATCGCTCTAAAAAAATTATTTTCGTTAAAAAATAGTATATTACTGCCCTAGGCCGCGAAAAAAAGAAAAGTCCCAGAGCACGTGTAATTAGTGGCCGAGGCGAACCAAAAGCGCGTCAAGATCGGTGACATACTTGCGCACGGTTTTGTAAAAAAGTATTATTTTGACCCATATGCTATATAGTATAGAGGATGTTGTTAGCTTGCTCCATCAAATTTCCACCAATTTTTTCAAAAATGTGAATTTCACGTGATTTTTGCACGATTTTCGCGTGTTTTTCATCTTTTTTAATTTATTATTTTCTAACTGCTCCTCTACTGCTCCTCCACCGTAAATCCACCGGGATACGTGATAGGTACTTTTATAATAATACAAAGGTACTTTTATAATAAACAACAAAAAATTTCATCGAAATTTTGTCGATTTTAAATGCTTCTATCTTGGGCTATATTTATCGTATCGACACGAATTTTTTTTGATTTCTTGGAAATTTTGTCCTCTTTCAATCCATATACATATATTAGGGGACATCCACAAATGACGTCATCACCGAGAGGGGGGGGGGAGGGGTTCATGAATTGTGACACATGATGACAGGGAGGGGGCGGGGGGGTTTGTCTAGTATGACGTCATAAATATTTATATTAGAGTCAAACACATGTTCGAATATTTTGAATTACATATAATTTTAGGAGTACAAAAATGACATTTTCCGGCCATTGTGCAAAGCGAGAATTACGATTTTCATGTTTAATTGGTTGTAAACACGATGTAATACTGCTTAGAGCAGCGAAAATATAAAGTTCCTATGCAATAGCAGTTGCACGTGCCTTTTTTGTTTTTCGCGATCCAATACGGTAATTCAACATTAAATCACTTTTAGATCAAATACTTCCGTCATAGTGATTTCTTATTTATCGACCGAGTAGCTTCTCATATGATATGTACTGCAGCGCCATGAACAAAGCAGTCGTCTGCATGTATATTATATGGCCGTGCGTTGTTTCGTAACTAATCTCGAATCGATATTTACTGCTGTACCTGTTGTGAGTATAAAGTGCGAGGACCATTTCGGAAACTTTATCGTTTAAAACTGAGAACAATATGCCAAAGAATTTATACGAGCGTCTATATGACGCAGTAAAAAATGCTCATCCCTCGAAGCAAGGATCGTTCATCCAAAGTAAAACGAATGACCTGTGGAAGAACTTGAAAAATAACTCTGCATCACCTGCAGAATTGGAAAAAGATACAGAAGTTGAAATTAAAAAATTGAGTATAAAAGCAACGACGAACCCTTATAAAAATTTTCTATAGGATCCCGCAAAATTCCTACTGGAATCCTATAGGACCCCTGTAGGAATTTTGCGGGATACTATAGGAAATTTATGTAAGGGAACAAAGCATCCCTAACTTGTTTCTTTGCTAATGTAAGTATTATGTTATCATATCTATTATAACCTATAAAAAATATAATTTGCCTGAATCCAATGTGTAATTGTTGATCTTGTTCACTATAATGCATAAGTGTTTCTTTATTTACTTGATTACAAATACAGTGCGACGTCTCAGTCTTATATTCTCATCATATTCACTTGATCTCTCTGTGTCGTTTCTTATAATGCCTTTAGTTTAATTATATTTATTTTCACGAAAAATTTCATAATTCTATTGCGAATGTAATCAATTCTTTTTTCAGGCTGTTAAAAAGTCAACTCCAGCAACGGTCTCTACCGAAACAAACAACTCAAGTAAGGTGATACCGGAAAAAGTTGCCAGCGAATCTCCTGCATCTACTTCGCGAATCGAATGTAGTAAGAAGTCTGAAACTCCAGCGCAAGACAGATGCAGAACAAACATTAACAAAATGACGGAAGAGCTGAATGCTATCAATGTCTTTATTAATACGCCATTACATACTGAACCGTCGAAAAAAAGAAAAGTCGAAATAGAAAAAAATTTGAGTCACGAAAAGAAAAAATTGCAGAGATTGGAATCAAATTTAACGAGCCAAACGAAATCAAGGCAAATAAAAAAAGCTCGTATAGAGGATATTTGTGGCAAAGATCCTGAACTTTCGAAGGCATTGAAAGTACGAGCGGCCCCAGGAAGACCTAGATTAGAAGAAAAAGTTCCCGAGCTGATTGAAACAATCATTGAAATCGTTTCTTTTTCGTCTGGGGCTGATTCCAGACGTCGATCAGAAATGCTGCGAACTTGCACAACGCTTGACCAACTTACTGAGGAATTGCGAAAAAAATGTNAGAGTCCAAGAAGCAACATTTTTAGTATTTTACCGGAACGATTTTTACCACCTCTGATAAAAATTGGACAATCTTTTGAGCGTGGAATGTATCCTGCAAAATTCAACGAGAAAGGTTGCAAATTTCTACCACTTCTAGCTCGTTTGGCCACTCTTATGAAAATTTCCTATAGGATCCCGCGAAATTTCTACAGGAGTCCTATAAGATTCCAGCAGGAATTTCGCGGGATCCTGTAGGGAATTTTTATAAGGGCACAAAAATTGAACCTAATGCTCCTGGGTTTATAGAGGTTTGATATTAATTGGATCATCAACAACTTTTTCTTATAGCGATATGCAAGAACAATACAATTTTTTTCTTTATTTCCTAGGTTTCATATGACTATTATTGTCCTTCGGTTCACAATAAATTATCAGAGAGGAGTTGCTCCGATTGTGGACTATACTTTTGTTCTAAAAAAGCATGTGAAGAGCATTTTAGAAGTTTACATAATATAAACGACAAAAATTTAAATTCATGTAGCCGAGTTCAACCAGTAAAAATAATCAAGTACAGAAATAACGAGGCTCTTTGCATTATACGCGAATCAAACGAGGAAGAAATATTAGAATGGATAGATATTGAAGATTTAGAAGAAGAGAGTATGGAGGAAGTTCCAAAAAATAATGAGGACAATAAGGACGAGTTTCCTGCAATAGGAAATATGAAGGACTGGTTAGAAAGTCCTTGGACTACAGATGCGATCAACGATGACAAAAAAAATTAAAATATCTATGTTATTAATTACAAATTTTAAACTAAATTTACTGTTCTTTTTTACAAATGTTTAATAAATGACTTATAATATATGACATTAAAATATATATGAATTATATCAAATTTTTGTTAATTTAGGGGGGTATCTACTCAAACTATGATGTCATTTTCAGGGGGGGGGCAGGTTCGAACTATGACACCTGATGACAAAGGAGGGGGGGGGGAGTCTAAAACCTGCCTTTTTGATATGACGTCATTTATGGACGTCCCCTATCAAGTATACAATAATATACAATCAAAGGACATTTCAAGAAAACATAAAATATTATTCTTTCAACGACGCATGGTCTTCTTCGTCGGCGGGCAGAGTTTGCCTGTACCTCTGCATCCAGCAAACTTTCTTCATTCAGAGTTATTTCTTTTNTTGTTTTTTTTTTTTTTTTTTTAAGAGAAAGCCAACTGAATCAAATAAAAAAAGACAAAATATTTATTGTCGGTAAAGTAGAAATCTCAGACAAAATGACCGCCTGCTTCGGGCTGTTGCGTATGTAGAAGTTTTTTACATGAATGAGTGAAGAGCCTCGTGGGTAAGTGGTTACGACGCTCGAGTTTCCATGTGGTTCTGGCCAGACATATGGAGATTCGAGGGGTTCGATCCCACCACGGGGCTCGGTGGCGTTCGTCGTTGGATCATCGGGAGAACATCGTTGGATCTTCGCCAAAAAATCGAAGTAAGTGACTCGGGCCGTGAGAGATTTAATTAGTATACAAAACTTAAAAAAAAAAAAAAAGAAAAAAAAGACAAAAAAGGCCAAAAAAAATAAAAAAAAGACAAAAAAAATTAAAAAAAAGGAAAAAAAGACAAAAAAAATACAAAAAAAAAAGATGAAAAAGACATTAAAAAAAATTGAACACTAGGTACTCACGGCTGGAGAAAAACTCCTTTTGCTCTGAAATTGACAATTTTTCGAATTCGATAATATTCATTATTCATATTTTACTTTTGGGACTGTCGAAGGTTTTTTTTGAATTTTACTTTACACAACACAAGATTATACTTTTACCATCATTTTGTCAACTATAGTTAGGATACATCAAGATCTCAAAATTTTTTTGGATCACATAGAAGTTTGAATATTGAAAAAACACGAAATTGAAAAATGTATTATAATAATAATAAGTAAAAAATTGAATAATAAATGTCGTGAATTCATGGTCTGAGATAATGAGCCTTGGGAGTTTTTGTATAATTTATCTTGAAAAGTAAAAAGATTTGTATCTTCATTGTTACGGCTAGCCGAAGTTTGATCGAGATTTTATCAAACTTCAATTTTCAAATCCCTCAAAGAACAATCAGCACGAATTTTTCACAAACCTCTATGTACTTTTCTTTTTGGTTATTTGATTGTTCGGTGAATTTTTACATTTTACAACATTTTCCAAGGTCTTATCTGAAAAAGTTGGCATTCGACAAAAGGGACAAATCGAGAAGCATGAAAACGCCCTCTTGAATCTTGATTGGTTAGTACTTAAGTAACCTCAACTCAAAACACGAGTGAAAAAATTGAGGCGCGCGAAGCGCGTTTGAAACTTACTATTTGTGAATCTCAAACTTACCTCAAAACACGAATAAAAAAAATGGACACCGCGGAGCGCGTTTGAAACGTCTAGTAAGCCTTTGGTGGTTAGATTCTCTAGAATGCATTTTATATGAATTAGCACCAGGAGTGAAACTTCAGAGTCCTTCTCTTCGGTTAAATGAATTGTTTTCGCAAATGAATCCGAGACTAGGATCCGATGTATCGCATGCCACGAAACTTCTCAAAGCATTCGTACTGGTAGAGAAAATAAGCATATAAGAGGATCTAAACATATCGAAAGATTTAAATTACAGATACAAAATTACAGTAAACACGAGTTGGATGTAGCACTGGCACAATTCAAATTAGTGTTGCTAAATTTAATTTAATTAATTTTAATTGTGCCAGTGCTACATCCAACTCGTGTTTGTTGTAATTTTGTGTCTGTAATTTAAATCTTTCGATATGTTTAGACGTTAGATGAAGTGCATTCCGAGAAAATGTAGCAATTTAGTAACTAATATTACTTACATTAATGCTAATAGTCCAGGCCGATTTTATCGATGGATGGCGATTCAAGAAAAGGAAGACTTGAAGCCCACACGTGTCCTAAAACCGGCTTTAACGAGACGGCTATCGTACACTGATAGAAATATGGTTCGTCTGGCAGAAACGGAGCCGTTTCTACGGGCGAAACGGGACCGTATCTACGGGCGAAACGGGACCGTATCTACGGGCGAAACGGAGCCGTTTCTACGGGCGAAACGGATCCGTTTCGTCTGACGAAACGGATCATTACATCATACCGCACTGCCGACACACACTCATGCACGCACATACTGTAACAACAGTTGGAAAATGTATACAAACAAAAACATAACCAACACCGTAGAGCGTGCCAAAACTCGAAGTTCGACTGCTACGGCAGGTAGTGGGTAGCATATCTTCTGTCTCTCTCCGTTTCGTGTGCCGTGACTTGTGCCGTGAGTATGCTACTGTTTACAGGTCACATGTACTCATCACAACAGTTTGGTACTGTTGTAGGTTAAGTGTTTCAATAGTTGGACCAGCAGTTGGACATCTCCACGAAAAGGTGAAAATCAACAAATAAAGCTGCATTTGATAAGTATTTTACACTTCCTTGTACATATACGCTTTTGATGTAACAGTAGCAGACTCATGGCACGAGTCACAGCACACGAAACGGAGAGGAGACAGAAGATATGCTACCGACTTTGTCTTTTTTTGGCCTTGCGAGTTGCGAGCGCTGTACAGCGCCCCCGAACTGCCACATATGCTACCGACTACCTGCGGTAGCAGTCGAACTTTGAGTTTTGGCACGCTCTACGGTGTTGGTTATGTTTTTGTTTGTATACATTTTCCAACTGTTGTTACAGTATGTGCGTGCATGAGTGTGTGTCGGCAGTGCGGTATGATGTAATGATCCGTTTCGTCAGACGAAACGGCTCCGTTTCGCCCGTAGATACGGTCCCGTTTCGCCCGTAGAAACGGCTCCGTTTCTGCCAGACGAACCATATTTCTATCAGTGTACACCGAATGTTTGAGAAGCATGCTACGAAGGAGCTTTAAGGAAGAAACGGAATAAAATAAAAACGATAATTCTGCAAAAACTATATGAGATGATCTTTGTGATCCACTTTCGGAGATGTACATAAAATTTTTATATTTTTTACTATCAAAATTTAGTCACGTCAACGAAGAAATGCAATCTGTCTCTTCCGTTATCCGTGAAGACGGTGACGTGATGAGTAATTTATTTTATTCAATCGTAGCTCTTTACATGGATTAAAGTTATTTAATGAATAACGATGTTAGTTACATCGACCCGGGATGTAAAGGGCACATGAAACCGAAATGCGATATTAACATAGGAATGGAGTGTTTACTTTTGCTGCATAAAAATAACGTAAACATCAATGATAAGGAGAATATTTAATTGCAGCATGTTCTCAATTAAAAGAGAAGTGTGACGATTGTTCACACTCTTCTATTCGTCTGCGCTATATAATACACCCAAAAAATGCACTCGACTAGAAGTTTCACGCAAGTCAAGCTCCCACTTTGGATGAAATATTTTAAGCGTATCCACAGTTTATGGACTCAAGTTGCACTGAAAAAAGTTTAAATGAAAAATGGTAATCTCTGTGTGAAGCGAATTTGCCTGCAGACATTAAAAATGAAAAGAACACGGATCAATTTTGGAAAAAATTATCCAGTAATAACAACTATTGTACGTGGCTGAATTATTGAATATGTAATATTGAATATTTAAAAGTGAAAAAGTCACGGATGGGATGTTTGAGTCCCATACTCAACATTGCATTTTGTAGATAAAAAAATGTTCACTAGCTATGTTATTTTGTAACTTGACACTCCTCCCTCTCAAAAATCAAAAATTCTAGCTACGACTTTGATGTAAAGTAATTTTATTTATATTATTTAAAAGCTTTGTCAGGATGATTATTTTGTTATACTTTATCGTACTATTGCTGTTATTATTAAAATTATTTTAGGCCTCGTATTGACTCTTATTGAAAGCCATTCAACGATCGTGCAGAAGCGAAGAATGAGTGTACAATTAATAATGAGCTTGTAAGGATGGTATCTCAACAAAAATTCATTGTTCCTACAAATAACGAACACATGAAAATTATCCATGAAAGTATATCCCGTGAAATGAATAAAAAATCACTCGTCATCGATGAAAAATTATATGAATATTTTCGACATCAATTAGACACTTATGAAAAAAGTTCGTCAATTATGAAATACCAGCACGATGACTTGAAAAATTTTTATCCTAATAAAAGAAATTGGACAATGCTTCAATCATTTGCACATTGGATCAGACAATTTTTACCGACGGTTTAGTCATAGATGCTTTTATGGTGGCAAAAAAATCTGGTGGATTTTGGAATAATAAAATTCAGTTCTATCCGACTAGCTTGACCAAATATATTTTTGGTGTAGATCGTGACATGCCACAACGTGAACCATTTCTAGGATATAATATAGAATGTGAATTTACCGATATGGTATTTCTATCTTATTCATTTGGAGTTCATTGGCGCTTTGTTGTTTTGGATGTAGTGGCTGAAAAAATCATGGTACTTGACTCGGGATAACTCGCTACTTATGGTTGATACTTGCCTCAGATGTTTTAATTCCACAAAGTTGTTGAAAAATACATGTGTTAAATGTTTAAGAAAAGTCCATGAAAAATGCAAAAGTGATTTTTTCGCTAATGACAGCTTATGCATTTATTGTCAGCAATTCAATTATACAAATGTGGATACTTACATTGGATTTCCAAACCCTCCAGGTGGAAATTCATGTTGGTTAAATGCTACACTCCAGTCAAATTTAGCTTTAAATTTTTTCAAAACGCTCGCTAGTTGGAAATTGAATTGTGACTGTCGTATTTTATTTTATATGAAACATATAAAAAACATTTCTGAAAGAAAATTGAAACAATCTTTAAATGTTCTTTTAACGTGAGTATATATATTTGACTCAATTTTTTCAAATTCAAATAAATATTTTATTTTTAAGGCATACTGCTTGAAAAACTCGCAATGGGTTTTATACGATGATGCAGTAACGGCAAAAATAAAAGATATTTCGTTATTAGAAAATGTACAGCAATATGGTTGCTTATTATTTTATAAAATTAGAGCTTAAATATATAAAAATACAAACAATAATAGTTTTTATTTTACAAACTTAGCATAATAAAAAATAATATTTATATATTTATATAGATCAGATCAGATTTTTGATTGCATAAAACCATTGAATTTAATTGAATTCATTATATCACGATTTCTGAAAAAAATGCACGAATAAAAATACCGAGTATGAATACTACATGGTGGATAGTATAGGGCTTTTTCACAGTCGTCAGTGACGGTCAAAAATCGACCAGCTGATTTGCCTGGAGGCAATTAAACAAAGCGACCCCGTATACTTTACATGTTAAAGTTGGTTGATAAAAGTAGTTGTAATTAGTTTACCATGCAATTTAAAAATAAACAAAAAATATCTGGAGAAAGCCGAAATCCTTGTGTATCGAAACATCGAAGCGGTTTTTAGTTAAAGTCTTTAGTTTGTAAATTAAAAAATATTGAAATTTCGGGTTTTGGTCTGTGATATTATCAATAAACTCTAATAAAGTAGTTATTAAAAGTGGTTTTTTAGGTTGCTATAACTATTTTATTAGAGTTTATTGACAATATCACAGACAAAAAAGCCGAAATTTCAATATTTTTTTATTTACAAACTAAAGACTTCAATTAAAAACCGCTTCGATATTTTGATACACAAGGATATCTGCTTTCCCCAGATATTTTTTGTTTATTTTTTTACTGCACGGTAAACTAATTACAAGTACTTTTACCAATCAACTTTAACGTGTAAAGTATACGAGGTCGCTTTGTTTAATTGCCTCCAGGCAAATCAGCTGGTCGATTTTTGACCGTCACTGACGACTGTGAAAAAGCCCTATACTGACATAACATCAATTCCATTGTGAGTGACCTTAACGTTCTGCTCGTTCAGTAGCGCCCGCCGCGACTCATGCTGCATTGTTTACACTCTGGAGTCGGTGTATATAGGCCGCAGTGTTACAAGTTGTACACGTGTTCGTTATTACGCCGCAGCGTACATCTGTTCCACATCGACTGCAGTGCAAGTGATTTTTTCGTGTAATAAAAGGTACATCCTGTTATAAGATATCGTGTGTCGTGTATCCATGTTCAACCACCAATGCAATGATGGAGATGGAATATTACCCATACAGGTTTTCGACACTCGAGTTGTTCGACAGAGTCAAGAGTCTACGTGAAAAGGTCAACTGGCAGGTTGTAAAGGAGCGACGCGAGTTTATTCGTCAACTCTATCCCTTGACCAGGGAAGCGCATTACGATTTTCAATCTCCGATTAATCTTCGCGAGATCTTTCGAAAGGAAGAGATCGACTGGCTTCTCTCGGAGGCTGTGAAGAGCTTGGAATGCTACGAGGGAGAAGCCATTATCGAATTCGTGTCCTGCAGCGGCTACAAGGACGAGCCCGACGTCGATGAGGACGGCAAGCCACTGTTGCGTCGCACCACCGCCATACATCACGCTACTAGACGCTGGATAACTGATTGGAGTCTCAAAGTCGGCAGGCTCTTCAAAGTCTACGACAGACTCGACGTAAACTACATCGACGAGTCCGGATTGTCGCATTTTCACGTGGCCTGCAAGTTTCGACGCGTCGACGTCGTCGAGAAGTTCCTCGAGCTCGGCCAGGATCCCAATTGCCTCTGGACGGAAACGGGCGATGCACCGCTGCACATGACCATGTCGTCTCCGTTCGACTGTAAAAAGTCGACGATTCGAGCGCTGCTAAGAGCCGGCGCCGAACCCAATCTGGCCAACAAGGAAGGATCCACGCCTCTGCACGTCATCTGCAAGAGAGACATAGACGAGATACCCTCCGACGAAGCCGTGCTGAGGTTATTTTTCCAGATCGGCAAGGAAATCGGTCGACCGGTGCGAGTCGACGCCCGGGATAAGTCGGGTCGGACACCCCTTCAATGGGCTGTGGCGCATTGCAAGCCGAGCTTGATCGATGCCCTCTTGAATCACGGCGCCAAATTGTCCAACTTCGTTTTCCCAACTGAAGATTATTTCGGCGAGGGATTCGAGCTTGAAAGCGACAATTGGGGCGATTACACGTTGATACTGGCGTCTCGCGTTCTGACCGTGGTCGAGCGTCTGGAAAAAAGAGGATACGGGCTGGACCGAGCTGGCGCCCTGACCATCATGAAATTCCTCGCCAAGCACAACCTGTTCCAGAAATCAGCGGTTCTCGATCAGAGCTCGCGTCGCGTGAGACGTTGGCTCGATAATCAGAAATTCGCGACCGAGGCGAAAAGAGTCACGGTGAAGCCGAGTCTCTCGTTCTACGAGCTGATGCAGCTACGAGCCGAAGAGGTAGAAAAAGTACTCGCGTTCGCGGATTGCTATAAGTTCGCGGAAATGAAAAAATTGAACGAGCTGCCCCCGGGGACGAGTTGGATCTGCATCGTGCACCTGATCGAGCTCATGTCGAGAAAATTTTGCCGACGATGGGCGCTGGATCCTCTACTGGAGCTCACGAGCTACCAATTGCCGATTCTCTGCTGTGAAAAAATTATCGAGAAGCTGAAGAACGAGAGTTTGTTCACCGTTTGCTTGGCGGCTGCAGGCCGAGCATAGTTATGTTATTTTTTCATATCTGGTGTTACAAATTGTTGCAGATTTTCCATGTGAATTGAATAAATAAATTTAAACAAAGAGTGAATTCATTGACTTGCTTGAGTTTAGTTTTAATTTTGATTACCTGCCTGATACGTTTGTTTTCAGATAAATTCGAAACCCGACACGTGATTCTCGATACCCGAGCAGACGCATTATACACCCATTGCAAGAGTCGTTCATCACAATAAAATCAGCATCGTTTTTCATTAATTTTAACTGTTCATTATTATAAGTTCATTATTCATTATATATAAGTTCATTATTCGCAAGAAAATGATCATCTTAATTCTCGTAAAATACGAAGCGCAGCAATAATTTTAGAAACCTACAAAATTTCATCATTCAAATGTTTTTTTTTTTATTAAAATATCTTGTTTTTAGTAGTTGAAAAAACAGTTGTTCCGCAACTTATTTGCTGAAATCAAACAAATCGATGACTTGATTTTCTTAGAATCCAATTAATTATAAGAAAAATTGAAAAATAACAACAATAATTTGCATGAGTATATCCATGTGTACACACATCCGTAGATTATAAATCAGGCCAATCACACCATGGCTTGGGACTGTAAAATTGGAATGAATATAAAAATGTTTTATTATACGTGTGCGAAAAGGACTATTGAATCCATGTTTTTTTGTGTGAACTTGATATTTTTTGTAGAGTTTTTTTGCAGTACTTGTTTGTAGAAAGCCAAAAAATTCCTTGAAGAAATCGTCGCCACGTTACAATTTAAAACTGGATCAAATATTCTAAATAGATAGATAGGTACTTCAGTTGTAAACAATATGATGATGAGTGATTTTGACATTAGTCCCTCGCCACACGTGATGGTGTTCATAGTGAAAATAAATTAGTTTGAACGTCGTCTTTCCCGATCAAACAAGACATTATACCGAAAGATAAATTTTACCGATGTCATATATAACCCGACGTTCAATTTAAGCAACAAAATGTATGATAGTGAGAAGGAATCCGTGGAAGGAGTCTCAGACGACAAAAAACATGCTTGTGATATTTGTCAAGAAGTATTTATAATTAGATTAAGTATGATAATGCACCGATACACTGATCACGGTGAACAAGAAAAATACGCGTGTGACGAGTGCGAGAAGAAATTTGTGATGAAATCGTGTTTGGTTATGCACCAAAAATTGGTACACAGAAATCGCGAAGATTTCAAGAGTAACAATTCCGAGAAAACATTTGAAAATGAATCAAATTTACTCACGCACAAAAACATATTTCACGAAGTTTTCAAAAATTACTCGTGTGAAATGTGTGCGAAGAGATTTGATACGATACAAAGTTTGATCTTTCACATAAAAACAGACCACGAAGGTCGCAAAGAATATGCATGTGATAAGTTTGAGAAAAAATTTTCACATGAAGCGAGTTTGCTCTACCACCAAAAGTTAGTACACGAAGTTCGAAAATATTACGCATGCGACAAGTGTGAGAAGACATTTGTGACTCAAGGCGTTTTGACCAGGCACCTAGAAACGGTCCATGAAACTCGAAAAAATGACTCATGCGACAATCACTATAAGACATTTGATCAACAATCGCATTTGCTACACCATCAAAACACAGTCCACGAAGGGCACAGAAATTGCGTATGCGACAGTTGCGAAAAGAAACTTGTACAAAAATCAGATTTGGTAATGCATCAAACGACAGTACATGAAGGGCAGAAAGATTATGCTTGCGGCAGATGCGAAAAGAAATTTTCACAAAAATCGATTTCACTCACCCATCTAAGGACAGTTTACGAAGATCACAAAGAGTACGCGTACGACAGGTGCGATAAAAAATGTGCAAGTGAATCGGATTTGTCGAAGCACCAAAAGACGGTAAATGAAGGTCAGAAAGATTATTCATGCGACAATTGCGATCAGAGATTCGTAAATCAAAGCAATTTTGTAAGACACCAGAAAACAGTCCACAAAGGTTGCAAAGATTACGCATGTGACAAGTGCGAGGAGAAATTTGGACAAAACATACAATTTATTAGACACAGAAAAACAGTCCATGAAGGCCAGAAAGATTTCGCATGTGACATGTGTGAAATGAAATTTGGGCTCCAAAGTAATTTGAAAATACACCTCAAGACGGTCCACGAAGGTCAAAAAGATTTCGCATGTGGCAGATGTGAGCGAAAGTTTAGATTAAAGTCAGATCTGTTTCGGCACCAAATGACTGTCCATGAAGGTGTCAAAAGTTACGCATGTGACAAGTGCGAGATAAAATTTGGACACAAATCGTCTTGGCTTTTGCACCAGAAGACCGTACACGAAGGGCGGAAAGATTATGCATGCAACAGATGCGAAAAGCAATTCGCAAAAAAACATTATTTGCTCGTGCACATGAAAACAGTTCACGAGGGTCACAGAAACTATGCATGTGACAAGTGCCATAAAAAATTCGGACGAAAACCCCATTTGATAAGTCACCAAAAGACAGTCCATGAAGTGTGTAGAGCTTTCACATGTGACCAGTGGGATAAGATATTTGGATACAAATCAAATTTGCTAACCCACTTAAAAACTGTACACGAAGGTCGGAAAGATTACTCGTCTGACAAATGCGAAATAAAATTTACAAAAAAATCAAATATGTTTAAGCATCAACAGACAGTACACGAAGGTCGAAAAGATTTTGCATGTGACAGGTGTGAGAAAAAATTCGGATTAAAATCAAACTTGTTTAAGCACCAGAGGGCAATCCATGACGGGCGCAGAGATTACGCATGCCCCAATTGCGAGAAGAAATTTGGACAACAATCAGCTTTGCTCATACACCACAAGACAGTACATGAGGGTCGCAGAGATTTGGCTGGTGACAATTACGAGAAAAAATTTGGAAGAAAATCACATTTGCTCGTGCACATGAAAACAGTCCATGAAAGGTCAAACAATTACGCGTGTGAAAAATGCAACAAGAAATTTGGGATTCGCAGAACTTTGATCGTACACCAAAAAACCGTCCACGAAGGCCGCAAAGATTTCCCATGCTACAGGTGCGAAAAGAAATTTGGGGATCCAAGCAATTTGAGAAAACATCAAAGGACAGTCCACGAAGGTCGCAAATATTTCCCATGCAACAGGTGCGAAAAGAAATTTGGACAAAAATCGAATTGGTTCTCACACTAAAATACTGTTCATAAAGGTTGTACAGATTATGCGCACTCATGACTGCGTGAAAAAATGAAGCTTGACAATTGTAAATATGTACACAGCTACTCATACATATATTTTTCCTAAGATTTCAATAAAAATTATGCTGAAAAGCGATTGTGTATTACTGGAATTATGGGCGTTCAGCTATCATTAGACCTTCGCACCCCGACATTGCAGTGGTGTTTTCAGACTTTGCGTACTACCAATCGCTACTCTTACTGAATTTTTTGGATACTTCGTTTACGTAGCTCTTCAAGCCATGCTCAACTGAGAGTTCTTTTTTCACGTCTCGTTTAAAACTTTAAATTGAGCGAGCATTCAGTTGGCTACTCGATTTTCGATAAACCTCGCGTAATAATGTTCCAACCCGGAATCAATCAAACACGCGCTAACAAAACGTGTTGATAAATTGACTGAAAAACCGATGATTTTTTTTAAGATAGTCGTGATCGGCAAAAACAGCAAGTTTTTATCGAAAGAAATAACATGGAAACCATTCAATAATTTAATTTAAAACTATAGGGCTCTGCCGAGTTGAACCAAAGTCGCCCCGACAGATGCCGCTAAACGTCGCGCACGACGGTCGCGCGCGAAATTGCCTATATGCTCGATCGAGTCTCTTTCAATCAGTTTGCAAATCTTGCCGCACTGACCCCCGAGCGCGCCACCTCTTTATACTACTACTTCGGCCCTCGTGCTGCATGCACGAGTCAAGTGCCCCCCAGTGCTCGTGCACTCACCGTGCACGGGTCTGCGATACCTACACAATATCCAACGTCAGTTCTCTACAGTATCGGCGGCGTTAGCAGCTATCCGCGATCGTGCGGCGCTGCGCGAAAAGTTTGCAGACGGCGCAGCGGCAGTCTCAGTGAACTGCAATGCAACGAGGCCCTCTCTGCTGCACACTGACTGCTGAACTCAGTAGTCGCTGCTGGAGTATCGAGCCGATTGTGTGTGTTTTCTTGCTGCCTCTTGGCGTCGTGTCGTGCTGTTGCAGCGGTGCGTTGTTGTCGTGAGAGGATACACACACACGCACACACTGAGCCGACAACGAGATAAATAAAAACAGCAGCAACTAACAGTATCGTTACTCGTCGTTCGATGTTAGCTCAAAGTTCGTAAAACCTCGCGAGAGCATCGCGTAGGAAATATCTCTGGGCTACTGCCGCTGCTGCCCTTCGAGAGTGCATATACAGTCTCTCTCTCTCTCTTTCTCTACTGTTCGTGCGGTGTGTGTTTATGTGTGTATAATACGTGTGTTGTTATACTACTCGTGCTGTCCATGTTAAGAGTACACAGCGTGCAGTAGAGAGCGACGACTATATACAGCGAAAAATATACAACATCAACGCTGTATGCAGACTCCGCGAAGCGGCTCCATAATATTCGAGTGCAGCACGTATATATTATAACCCCTCTTTTCGTGTGCTCGCGTGCGCGCGCGTGTGTGTCTGTGTTAGTCAACCTGCTGTGTCTACGCTGTGACTGTATAGCGCAGCATCTGTCTCTGTATTATACATCGTTATCACATGTGCGACGCGTTACTCTTTCCAGATTAATCATACATAGTGCGTGTGTGTGCGTTTGTATCTCTCCATCTCTCTGATCTTCTAATGAAGTGCGAAAAAGTGCTCTGAACAGAAAAAAAACGTGCGCCGTCGACGCAACTCTTTCTATATAAATTTTCCAACGTTGTACTGCGAGCTGCATACAGGTTCGTGCAAATTTTTTTTCATGGTAAAAGTAGTGTTATAATTGTTTGGCTATTGTCATAACCACCCGATCGATGCACAATTTTCAAACCATCGTTTCCTGCTCGCGACTCACCTAGCTGACGTTTGTTATCGTTGCTGAACGAAGAAAAAAAACTTCCTTTTACTACTTACGTTGGCGCACGTGAGTAATCCTTCTAAACTCGCGTCGTGTTATGGAAATATATATCACTTATCATATATTCGTGGTTATTTACAAAACGACAGGCGGAAACTCGTTGCTCTCGATTTACGACGCTAATAAATGTCAACGAACTCGTGCTTTTTCGATAAATCGATTTTCCCGTCAATTTTCTTGAACATTTCGTGCGCCATCTTATCTCGAGCGCGCGTTTTCTTTTGTTTACGCGTGTTGCAGTTCGAGGCTATAACGTAATTTTCGAAATTGAGCGGAGTAAAGGTTGACGCCGGATCCGCTATATACCTATAACGTAATATGATTTCTCTCCTTATTCACTTCCGCTAATGACAATTTGCTTCGCGGTAAATGTGTCACTGATGTTATACGAGATGTGAACTCCTCACCTATTTTTTCTGTAAAAATATGGCCTATCTCTCGCATGCTCCGAAACAAAATAAAATGATATTTTTCGAGAAAGATACTCGAGTAGTGAAAACGCATACCTAGTCGAGTGGAAAAATAAAAAAAAACCTTGGATTACCGAATCGATGGATCCTTTTTTTGTTTGAAAAATGTAATCGATATACTAACCCTTGTCTGTTGACAGTCGCCTCGATTTTAAGTTATTCATTGGATTTTTTGAGGAAATCTGTCAATTTGGCCTATTCGAACGATTGATTGATTGAATATATTCCATCGGAAAGGTATATCCAAAAAAGTTAAAAAACTGTTCACGTCATTTCAACATTTTTTCCAAATAGCATCGCAGTGTCTTTGGTATAACTGTCTTTGGTAAAATCGAGTTTAATCTCAAATAACGATACTAGAAGAACGTCCATGTAATTTTTATCGCGCGAAGGAAACGCGTCGCGACACACACAAACATTTCATATATCACAAGATTAATTCGCGCAATAAATTGTAAATATAATTATATATCCATCTCTCGCGCAGCAGCAGCAGCACTGCACGGGTCGATGGGCAAACAAAAGCCGCAGCAGCAGCGGCAGCGAACGTATGGAAAACTTTTTTTCTTTTTTTCCGCTCTCGCCTCTCTTCTCATCGTTTTGTCGAATATAATTCAACGAGTTTTTGATTTATAATAAGCTCGGCGCAAGTATATAGATATGGATAGTATAGTGAAAGGAAGAAGGAGAAAGGAGAAGGGGTGAAAAAAAATTGATCGATCTATACGGGAGCAGCAGCAGCAGCAGCAGCAGCACGAGTTGTGTTGGGTATATAAGTTGTAGTAGCAGTAGTGCACTGCATACACGCCGAAGAAAAAGAGAGAGAGATAATTCCGAGCTTCGGATCCTCTCTCTTTCTCCATATATATGTGCATTATAAAGTACCCGTTTCAATAATTCCTCAACAAATCATACATATATAGAGAGAGAAGAGCAGAAGTTGTTCTCTGCGCTTTGCTGCATTCACAAGTGTCTCTCTCGGCTTGGGATTATACATTTTTCATCGTCGTGTATGTGCCGCCGCCGCATGCGAGATATCACTACTCGGTGCATACCTCGTGAGTGCGTCCGTTGCCACTACTCCATATGTACCTAAGTCATTAAAAATTTTCTGATAAAACGTGTGTGTGTGGCTGGCATGTATGATGAAAAACCGGTAATGATCAAAAAAATTGATGAAAAAAAAAAGAAACGAACGACAAAGTATATATAAAGTTAATTAAAACCCATATACAGGTACGTATAGCCGTGTGCAGTCACATTGTACGACAGTGCGCGCGCGAAATCGGGATAACCGCAACTTGCTTCACTTATTATCCCGCGTAAAACATACAGAACTCCGAAACCTCTTCATTTTTTTTCTCCGCCGCTTCTCTCTCTCTCTCTCTCTCTCTCTCTCTCTCTCTACTTTTCTATACCATGTCTGTGTGTTATAGACCGCCTCCTCCGCAGCAGATACAGTACAGTACAGAGTCTCGTGTGCACGAAACGAGAGTCAATTAGAAAAAGAGAACGCACACATACGATCCGCCTTTGTATATACTACATGCTCGCGCGTCTTTAATTAGATCGTCGAATGGGCATTCTTTGAGCTCTTTGGCTTTAAATTCTATATATTTATATAGGCTTGCCTGTGTATGTATAGCAATGGCGTGTGCTCAAAGCTCTCTCTCTCTCGGCGGCAGCGGCCACCACCAACGCAATATGGGCGTGTGTGTGCGCGCGCGCGGGTATAACAGAAAATTAAACCGCAAATGGAAAATGTCGCCATGGCGCAGTGGCCACCGCGACGAGTATTAGCCTATGCAAAGCAGCTCGCGTGTGCGTGCATGGTTCGAAAAATCCATATATTCATGACAAAAATGAATTTTTCATGCGATACGCGTTATTGAATCCCAGCGCACACACGTTATTTTTTCACTGCACCGATTATACATCGATGCACAAGAGTAATAATGTACTTAATGCGTTACAGTCGTTTAATGCGTGCGTCCTAATTCGCGAGTCGTTATCGCACGCGCGTTCGACGACGTAATTTTCATCGCGCGCGCGCACGTACCAATCATCGCGAGCCAGAAAATTCAGAGCGTTTTTTCTCTCTCCTCGATCGACGCGTGATCAAAAGTCAATTTTTCGCTACTCTTTACACATTCTCTCTACTCGCTCGTAGTCGTGTGCGAAGGTACACACGCATATACACGTTTTTTCACGCCACTAGCTGCAGTATATGCATGTAATATATCGAAGTAGGTAAATATAGCATTACATATAGGTACAGTAGTGACAGTCTTTGGCGCGTGCTTAAACACATACCTATATGTACGTGCGCCCCTCGAGCCGCACGTAACGTATTATGTACTACCTGGCGTGACGCGATCGATTCCGCATATACACACGTATACACTTAGCGAGCCGCGATTATGCCGCGAAGCTTTTCATCGTCAGCAGCAGCAGCAGCAGCAGCTCTCGAGATCGTCCTCAACGGGGCACTCGTACAAAAATTCCCGGTATTTCCCTCGTAAATTACACGTGTGCAGCGGCAGCAGCTCGTCCACACGTAATCTATACAGGAAGAGACCCGGCCGAGCGCGAAAAATCCCGTAAGCGCGAGTGCATATACATATATGCGCTGCAGCGTCTCTTTTCTTCCGATTAATCGCGCGCGAGAAAACGGCCAAAAGTGTTTTTAAGATGGAGAATAACTTATCAAGATATGGTGTAATATATACTTGTGTACATGTCGCGTCGCCCGCGTTATTATTGCGCGATAAAAGAAGCAGCATTCGGAGCAATTAAAACACACGAATCTCGACGCGCCGATTGCTGTTAACTCTGCTGCTGTGCAGTCATGGTCACCGCTATATTACACACAGCTGCGTGGCCATGAAACCGGTAATGATATATCGTATATATAATACATCAAGAAACAAATATGCGCCGATGCATCTTTAATTAAATCTTTTACCTCCCTCCTGATCCTCTAGTCGGACTTACGAAATTTTCACGGCTTTAAAATTCAACCTTTTTGTCTGTTGTATTTATCCCCTGCGGCGGCTTCAGCTTCAGCAGCTTACTCTTCCTTTATATACCGTCGTAATGTAATACAGCGTCCGTCAGAAAAGCGTCCGGCAAATTTATTCCGCGCGTTTCAATTCTCTGCCGGGTATACGCGCGAGCTTAAAACTCGCTCTCCGTCACTCCGCGACCGCGTGTATGTTTTTTTCGGGGATTAACGGAGTAAATAAAAGGATGCAGTACATAATAGCGTATTTGAGAATCACGGCTAATTGTTCTAATAAACATAAAATTCGTAAATATATACTAATCGGACATCCGACTTGCCACTTGCGAGTTCACGGATACTCTATCTGTCGATCGAATCCAAAAGCTCGCAATTGAATGCGACTTTGATCTCGATTAATTTGTAAGCGCGTTTAAAATTTCCATACGACATCGCATCGTGTATCGTGAAAATTGAATCCGAGAGATAAACGAACCCCGTGACAAAGACGAAATATAATAATCTTCATAACGCGTGTACACGTTACGGAGTCGTATATATTATTACAAAGGAGCTGTACGGCTGCCTGAAAAAACACACGCGGCTGTATGAGCAATGAACGACGTCGGTGTGAATCACAAGAAATTAGAGGTTTTTCGCTCGTTTTAAGCTGCGCGGTACACCCCACCGCGTTCAAACACGAATTAAATTTTGTGTAACGCGAGTCTTAGATTTTTGCTTCCGCAGCTCTGCACACGTACTGTACGTACACAGAGCTCGCGGCATTCTTTATTTTATATTTAATTCCCACAGAGTAAGAGAGAAAATTGGCCGACGATTTGGCTCGGCTAGTAGTAGAAATTGCCTCGGCGGCTCTGGCATTTTCACGACTGGGTAATGAAAGCCGCTGCTGCTGCTGCTCGCGCGAGTTGCATAAATATAAATGATGGTACTCTAAATTCTCCTACGCGCGGACGCGAGGCGTCGTTTGAATCTTTCAGCATTTTAATCGACACGAACTGCCAATCAATTATTCAAATCTCATGCAGCATCGGCCGTTGCCGCCGCCGCATTTGCATTCGTTCAATCTGCTGTTGCCAGCATGCAGCACAGAGCCGAGGCTCGATATTATTACGTCCAACGCTGAGGGGGAAAGAGGGGCGCAATTTCGTGGCAATTAATTTAACGACGCGCCCCGAGTACGAATCTCTCTCTCTTTTTTTCTCTCTCTCCTCTCCTCTTCCTCTGGCGAGAGTCTCCTCGTTTAGTCATATTGTTTTAATAATTCCAGAGTCGGTTATATGCTTGGGCTTATGTGTCAGCTCTCGCGTGAGCCGCCGCGAAAGCAGTCGAGTCCACCATCACGCACGCAGTCGCGTGAAATTGGCGCAGCGGCGGCTCTACATTGTGTTCGTTCATTTACACTCGATAACTAGAGAACCGCTGCGTATATAATACACGGTAGACTATATTAAATTCGCTTTTAAAAAAGAGTAAGCGAAGGGGAAATTCAGGCATAGAGGCTGGAAAAAATAAGCGAGGCGCAGAGAGAGAGAGGCCGATTTCGCCTCGGCGTGAAAATAAATCAAATATCTCACGCTCGATAAATTTCGAGATACGACTAAATTAGATGAAAAAATAATTGAGCATACGCTTCTAGCGCTGCCTATAACAGTTGGCAAAGTGAGAGATACACACGCGCGCACACATACGTATAAAGATATAATGCGATTAACAATTTATGACTTTTATAATGCATTTAGAAAAGATGCATACACACGCGTATTTATAAAGTAGTATGATGGATTATCGCACTTCAAAACAGCTGCGTTGCGGCCAACGGCGCTCGTTAACTTTTTTTCTGCGTCGAGGAGGAGGAGGAGAGTCGAGCGCGAGCACCACCGCGCACGAGCGAGAAGATAAATTAACCCGAAGCTCGCATGAAAACGTATTCCGATTTCGCGGGAAAAATTACAAAATTCCACTCCTGCGCTTACGCGCGCGTAATATATATTTTATATATGCATCATATACCTATAGCTGTATATGGATCGCCTCTGGATTCGCGTACACCCGGTAAAGGCTACGTTTTTTATTATTATTATATAGCTGCAATTGTGTGCGTGTAACAGCTCGCGAGCTCATTACGAGGAAACCGATTGAAAAACTCGTTGCTCGCTGCTCGGCACATCGTATTAGGCACCTTTTATTATACTGCCAATCGATCGATCGGGACCGGGCCGGGCCGTATAATTTTTACCGTCCGAGAGAGAGAGCCTAGGGTAATTGTACTTCGCCTCGGCGAAACGCTTGATTTATTAATTTAATCAATTTGAAACTCGACCTCGCTCGCCGTTGCTCGAGTTTACGTCGTCGTCGTCGATTGCGATAGCGAACGAATAAAAGAGCGGCGGCCGGTGTGCTCTCTGTATTATATATATAGGTAGGTACTGTAGAGAGGTATATAAGTGTGGATAATTGGAAACTCTCCTCCTCGCTTGAAAACAGAAATGCACGCACGTTTTTAGCGAGCCGACGAGCATCATCGTTTGTGTACTGGGTGCATTTAAAGTTTTACTGCCGTGTGGCGCGTGTACACCCCCGTCTAATTATGCGTGTAAAAGGGAAGGTAAAAACTATACTGAGAGGCATCGGCGCGGCGATCGATGTAAAATGCCGATACTCGAACAAAGTCTTTGGACTCGAGCCCGCGGGGATAGTAAAAATAAAAAAAAATAAAAAAATAGAACGTAAACTATCCGCGAGAAAATGTCGCTCACGCGGGGACATCTCGAGAATGACAGAGCGTGCTCGAGAGTCGAGTTAAAAAAAGGCGCCGCTCCCGCACACAAACTTTCATTAGCCGCTCGGTTGAGGCAGTTGATTTCTGAAAATTCGGAAAATTAATAACGACGCTTTGAAATAAAATTATGGAAGCATCTGATAATTTTAAAGTAATATTGTCACAATTTTTATTCAAATTTTAGAAAAATTTGTACTAAAAATGTATATGCTAGTTTCTATACATATTTACAATGGTCAAGAAAAAAAACCAACGATTTTCATTATTTCACTGATGAAATGTACGCCATTATTCTCTGCGAAACTATTCAGAGTATTACTACAATAAGTTCAAGCTGTTTGAAAAAACAATGAATTATTTATAAAAGATTAAAATATTCAGCTTTTTGATTGAAAAATAATTAATCCGTGTTAATTGCAAAGCAATCCATCATATAAAATATATTGTCTCACTGAATATGATTATAATACAGTTGAATCATCTAATTATGTAAAAAAACTACTACTAGTATTTACCAGTTAAGAAATCTCACATATCAGGGTAAGTTTATAATTTGATGGAGTGGTAGTGGTAGTTTCTACGAATTATGTGGACTTTTTGGTTTCAACTCAAAATTTATAATCCCACGTCTAATTTTCACTCTTATTGATCTCGTTATCTTTGTAAACTTCGTGTACTGTTCTTCGATGTCTGAAAAAACTGAATCGATGACCAAATTTTTTCTCGCACATGTCGCAAGCGAAATCTTTGATACCTTCGTGTACTGTCTTTTGGTGCCGAAACAAATCTGATTTTTGTCCGAACTTCTTCTCGCACTTATCACATGCGTAATCTTTGCGACCTTCGTGGACTGTCTTTTTATGCATAAGCAAATTATTTTTTTGTCCAAATTTCTTTTCGCATCTGTCGCATGCGAAATCTTTCCGACCTTCATGGACTGTCTTTTGATGCATGAGCAAATTATTTTTTTGTCCAAATTTCTTTTCGGAATTGTTGCAATAGTAATTCTTGTGACATTTATTGACTTCCCTTTGATGCCGCAACAAATGTGATTTTTGTCCGAACTTCTTTTTGCACTTGTCGCATGCGTAATCTTTACTACCTTCGTGTACTATCTTCTGGTGCCGAAACAAATCTGATTTTTGTCCGAACTTCTTCTCGCACTTATCACATGCGTAATCTTTGCGACCTTCGTGGACTGTCTTTTTATGCATAAGCAAATTATTTTTTTGTCCAAATTTCTTTTCGCATCTGTCGCACGCGTAATCTTTTCGACCTTCATGAAACGTCTTCAGGTGAAAGAGCAAACTGGACTTTTGTCCAAATTTCTTCTCGCACTTATCACATGCGTAATCTTTTTGACCTTCGTGGACTGTCTTTAGATGATCGAGCAAATGTGATTTTCTCCCAAATATCTTCTCGCAATTATCACATGCGAAATCTTTGCGACCAACTTGGACTTCTTTCTGGTGTCTTACCAAATTGCTTTGAGTTCCAAATGTCTTATCGCAGTCGTCGCATACATAATCTTTGCGACCGTCATGGATTGTCTTTAGATGGGTGAGTAAAGTCGATTTTTTTTTTAAATTTTTTTCGCACCTGTCGCACGCATAATCTTTGCAAATTTCGTGTAATGCTGTTTGGTGTATCGAAAAATCTGATCTACTTTCAACTTTTTTCTCGTCCTTATCGCGCAGGTAATTTCTTCGCGGATAATCTTCGTGGACTGTCTTTACGTGCAAGAGCAAACTGTATTTATTATCAAATATTTTAGTGCAAATTTCACATGAGTAGTCTCTGAAAACTTTGTGGAATACTTTTTTGTGATTAAATAAATTTGATTCATTTTCAAATATTTTCTCGCAATCTTCGCATGAGTAATTTTTTCGATTTTCATGGGCCGTTTCCCGGTGCCTAGTCAAAACACCTTGAGTCACAAATGTCTTCTCACACTTGTCGCATGTGTAATATTTTCGAACTACGTGTACTAACTTTTGGTGGTAGACCAAAGTCGCTTCATGTGAAAATTTTTTCTCACACTTATCACATGCATATTCTCTGCGACCTTCGTGGTCTGTTTTTATGTGCAAGATCCAACTTTGTATCGTATCAAATCTCTTCGCACACATTTCACATGAGTAATTTTTGAAAACTTCGTGAAATATGTTTTTGTGCGCGAGTAAACTTGATTCATTTTTAAATGTTTTCTCGCATTTTTTGCTTGTGAAATCCTCGCGATTTCTGTGTATTAATCTTTGATGCATAACCAAACAAGATTTCATCACAAATTTCTTCTCACACTTGTCACAAGAGTATTTTTCTTGTTCACTGTGAACAGTGTATCGATGTAAAATCATATTTGATTTTATTGTAAATATTTCCTGACAAATATCACAAGCATATTTTTTGTCGTCTGCGACCACTTCCACGGATTTCTTCTCACTTTTATCCATTTCGGTGCCTAAATTAAACGTTGGATTCTTCTATTTAGTGCCACGAAAATTAAAGCAGTAAAATTTATCTTTCGGTATGATGTCTTGTTTGATCGGGAAAGACAACATTCAAACTAATTTATTTTCACTATAAACACGATCAGTGTTCAAGGGACTATATTATAATTCTGTATTATCATATTGTTCACAACTAAGGTACCGATTTATCTGTTTATACATTGTCCGTACAATATCTGAACAACTCGCCACGCTATAGTTTTGTTATTGTTCTCCATAAGCCACTATCGGCTACGAGGTAGAAAATAAATAATTAGAAGATATATAATATAATCGCACTCATCTACATCTACAACGTTAGTGTACGAAGGTGTAATATAGTAATTGAACGCCCGAGGTTTAAACAGTACATAATGATAAATGCACGATTTTTATCCAAATTTTCGTAAAACATTTATGAGTATCTATACACATATTTACTATTTGTCAATCATTATTACTTTATTTGTTACAGGTCATTTGGTGTCTGAGCAAATTCACTTTTTGTCCAAATTTCTTGTCGCACCTGTCACATGCAAAATCCTTGCGATTTTCGTGGACAGTTCTTTCATGGTTTAACAAATTATATTTAAGTCCAAATTTTTTCTCACATTTGTTACATCCGAAATCTTTTCGACCTTCGTGTACTGTCTTTGTGTGTACGAGCAAATTCCCTTTTTCCGTAAATTTCTTTTCGCACTTGTCACACGCGTAATCTTTTCGACCCTCTTGTACTGTCTTTTGATGGACAAGCAAATACGATTTTCTTTTAAACTTCTCCCGGTACTTGTCGCACACGAAACCTTTGCGGCCTTCATGTACTACCCTTTGGTGGTAGACCAAACTCTGTTTTTGTGTATATTTCTTCTTGCACTTGTCGCATGCAAAATCTTTCCGCCCTTCGTGGACCACCCTTTGGTGCAAAAGCAAACTCGATTTTACTCCAAATTTCTTTTCGCACTTGTCACATGGGTGATCTTTGCGACCTTCGTGAACAGTCTTTTGGTGGCGAAACAGATCTGGCTTTAATCCAAATTTTCGCTCACATCTGCCGCATTCGTAATCTTTGTGACCTTCGTGTACCGTCTTCTGATGAAGACGCAGATATTGTTTACTGTTAAATTTTTTCTTGCATTTGTCGCATTCGAAATCTTTCCGACCTTCATGTACTGACTTTATGTGTACGAGCAAATTCCGTCTTTCTCCAAATTTCTTCTGACAGTTGTCACAGGTATAATCCTTGCGACCTTCGTGTACTATTTTTTGGTGCGAAAGTAAACTTGATTTCAGTCCAAATATCTTCTCACATCTTTCACATGCAAAATCTTTTCGACCTTCGTGTACTGTTCTTTGGTGCTTTAATAAATCATATTTTTGTCCGAATTTTTTTTCGCATTTGTCACATGAGTAATCTTTGCGACCTTCGTGTACTGATTTTTTATGGTAGAGCAAACTCGATTTTTGGGCAAATTTTTTTTCACATTTGTTACATGCATAATCTTTGCGACATTCGTGGACTGTTTTTTGATGCCTGAACAATTCCCATTTTTGTCCGAATTTCTTCCCGCAATCGTCGCAGAAGTAATTTTTGAAAACTTTGGAGGCGAGATCTTTGAGACCCTCGTGTACCGTTTGTATGTGCACGAATAATTTATGTCTGTTGTCAAATCTTTTCGCGCACATTTCACATAAGTAATTTTTGAAAACTTCGTGGAATATTTTTTTGTGTTTGAGTAAAGTTGATTTATTTTCAAATTTCCTCTTGCATTTGTTACATGTGAAATCTTTAAGATCTTTGTGTGCTAATTTTTGATGCGCGAATAAACTTGATTTTTTCACAAATTTTTTCTTGCACTGTTCGCATTTAAAATCGTTTGGGCCTTTGTGTTCTGATATTTGGTATCTACTTAAATGACTCCGAAATTCGAATTTCTCTTCGCACTTTTCACATGAGTAGTCTTTTTGTTTATTGTTTGTTTGCATGTTTGATTCCAGTGTAAATGCATTCCGAGGAATATCACAAATGTATTTTTTGTCGTCTGAAACAACAACCACGCGTTCGGTTGAATTATCATTCGAGACAATTTCCTCGGATTTTTGCTCACTTTTATCCATTTTGGAGTCTAAATCGAACGATGAAACTTTCTATTTAGTTTTAGTGATGTGGCTTGTTTCATCGCGAAAGACAAAATTTAAACTAATTTATTTTTATTATACACATGATCAATGTATCCAAGGAACGATGTCAAAATTATTTACGATTGTATTGTTTACAATTAAGTTACCATTTATCTATCGATACTTACAATATATAAACCAATTTAAAATTCTAACTTGGCGACGATGCTGTCGAGAAATTTTTCGGCCTTCTAAAACCAAGAACTCCGAAAAACTTCCTACTGACAACATCGAGCTCACACAAAAAACAGGGTTAATAGATTGGCGTGCTTTATAATCCGCCACTGCCGGCGGTGAACAGATTTGAAATACGGCAATTTAAGTAATAATAAATACTCTGTGTCCTCTATAGTATAATCATCAACGCGTGCAATCGACTAAAAAAGGTCAAAGGACTCGACAATTTTTCCTTTGGCATCTCGCATCAACTGATCAATATTTAAAATACCATCTCCTTTCTTTCCCCCTATCTCCATGTACATTTTTATACCACGCACGTACTTTTAAAAAAAACTTCAACAAAATTAGACAGTCAACGTGTCTTCGTGCAAGCTCTCGGCACGATTCGATTTATACATAGGGTCTCTTCAACTTCGGCGTGGTAAGTTTCGCGCTCTCCGGTAATAGAAGTTGGAAATCGCTCTCGGTTACGTATGGAGCGCTTAGCGGTGCATATATATAAGTCTCGATAGCGTTAATTAATTATAATTCTAGTGGGAGAAATTTGCTCTTTCGCGCGGCGCCAGCATATATCCTATAGTGTGCCCGGTAGCTGCTGCGGCTCGAGTCTCTCTCTCTCTCTTTCGATATCGTATGGCGCGGGATTTTCTGTCTCTCTCTCTCGCTTCGGAGGTGAGCTATGCGCACGAGCGATGATACCCCGCTCCGAACGCTTTGGCGAATTTTACTTTCAAATCTTCGACTCGCGATCGTATATGTGTGTATGTATAATACGTCGAGAGTAAAAGTCAAGAGCATGGAATAAATATTTGTTATATCTCTCCTCATCGATGATACGTACACACTCGCACACATCGAGCTTGTGCTATCACACATGCCAGCGCATATTATATGCATCTACATTGAGAGAAAGAGACGTGCGCGACACCTGCAACTTATGGCGGCCTTTCGCTTTTTCATCCGTAGAATATCCGAAGAGCTGTCTATATATATGCAACGGCTCTAGCGAATTGCTTCGCCAGATCCTTTGCATATGCGCGCACGACGACTACTACTCGTTCCTGCTTTCTGATTTACCTGTTCCTTTTTTTTACGACTATACTCTCCTCTCCAGCAGCGGAGGCTACATTCGAAAATATTTTCTCTCTCTCTCTCTCTCTCTCTCTCTCTCTCTCTCTCTCTCTGCCTCTTGCCGATATGATATAAAAAAAATAAAATCCTCGCGAGTTTTTTTTACGGCGCTCGCTCAGAGAAGGATTTCAAATTTCGAGAGAGATGGAAGGAGAGTATATATGCGGCGTTTAATTTTACCCGCTCGCGCGAACGAATCTCTCTCGTTTTTTATTATTATTATATAAATATATGTATACGCTGCTTTATTATTCGGCGGATGCGAGCTGTCTCTCTCACTCTCGTCGAGTATTATAAAAGTCGACATTGGCTGCTGCTGCGTTGTTGAATCAAGAATGTGCAGTGCCGCAGCAGCCGAGGCTAATGGACAGCTATTTAAATTTTAAATGGCCGAGCCAAAGAAGAGGAGTCTGTGTGCCCGTGCATTATAGTGCGCGCGTAGAGAGAAACCTTTCGCTGTTGCTGCTGCTGTTTCCGTTGCCGTTGTTGTATTGCATCTATGCGCACACACGCGCATAAAAGTCCTCACACGTATATGTACTAGCGAGTCTCGGAGCTGTGCAGCTCGACGTTTCATTCTTCTTCTTCTCTCTATCTCCCTCTTTCTTTCTTGCATATATATATCCTATACCACATGCATCCATCGAGTAGTCTCTGTACACACTCACATACACACATACACATACCAAGAGACATCGCAGCAACATCAGCAGCAGCAGCAGCGGGTCAGATAGCTGTAATTCGCCGCTTCCTCCTTCTCTCTCTCGCTCTCTCTCGCTCTCCGCGCTCTTATAAGTATAGTGCGTGTGCGCATATACACGTATCGCCGCAACCACCGCCGCAGTCAGAGCGGATACTTTTCCAGTTGATCTGTCTTTGTGGGCGCGTGTGCATGTGTGCGTGTGTTTGTTTGCTAACGCATCGTCATATTTACGCATGCGACGTTTAATAATCGTACGTATTGAACGTATAACGTATCCGTATGCGCAAACAGTCCCACTGCACAGATTTGTTGTCATTAGCTTTTTCAAGCTCAGCAGCGGAGAGACACTCACACCGCACATCGCTGCTTATTTGTTCGAATATTATATGGCCTTGACTCTCGAGAGATCGAGCCAACGATGAGAAGTAACCGTGTCTGTGTGTACTGTACGTGTGTTTGTGTACACGCGTGCGATGCAAGTACACGCTTCGATGAATTTTTTGCCCAATTAGCCTGTCCTTTGGCCGATGATTTATCGCTCGCGCTTTTCGTCGGCAATAATTCATCGCGCGCGAGTCTCTACTTGGCTTGTGTGTACGTATACCTATATGCAGCTGCGCGCGTACATATATTACAACGCGATGTGCGCCTTGCCTCGATCCCATGCGTCGGTAAAAAAAATTCGACGTTACTCCGATAAAAAACGAAAACAACAGCAACAACGACGACGACGACGACGACGACGAAGAGCTGCCAGTTACACAGCCCCTTGTTTTTTCCGAACGCAGTGACTCTTATGTATTACGCTTCATGACGATGTTACACAGAGCGACGGCGTCGTCCGCACTCGAGCTGCATCGATCAATTTTCGGAAAAGCCGCGAGCACTACTCGAGGAGAATATATATATGGGGTGGTTGGGTATAGACGAAAGCCTATTAACAGCTACTACTACTACTACTACTACAGATGCTGCGAAAGCCAATGGGCAAATGTTATTCCATTAAGGGCTAAGAACGGAGCAGCAGCTTCGCGAGGAGGATGCTCAATGACCTCGAGTATATAATATATATAGCGTAGTGAGTTTAGGGAGAAGGAAAGTTCTCTCTACTATGAGGAGTTATATACAATGGGTAGTAGTAGTATACGAGAGCGAAGCGATAAACATCGAGCGCGCATCGAAGAGGAAGAAAGGACGTAGACTCGAGATGCAGTTTTCTTTTGCGAAACGGTGTGAACGTGGCCTAACGGATCCACCTTTGCTCACAGACACATATATCCACGCACTTATATTTATACTCGCTGCAGCGTCAACATTTATGCGCGCAAGTACATTATACGATACTTACTGCAGACCGAAAGGAGCAGAGCCATCCGATGTGTATATATAAATATCGCGAGGAGGCCGGCAAACATGTGGTTAGACCGGTCTCGCGTCTCTTTTGCTCCCTTGCTTCGCTGCTGTGTGTGTGTGTGTTACTGCTGCTGCGCTTCGGCGTTTTCCATTTTACTCGCTCCTCTCCTGCAGTCCTGCGTTTTATATTATATATTTACAGGAATTACGCTGGCCACGTATACCCACTGGCGGTGCACGTCGTTCTTCTCTATACGACGTTCGATGTATTTCGACGATGCGAAAAAAAATCGTACGGCGCCGAATTTAAATTTTGACACGCGACTGACGCTTTATAATCCTCGCTTGAAAAATTGCACGAGAAACGTTCAACCATCGAGTAACGATCTTCTCTCGCCGTGGATCGCTGCGCTGCGCGCACAAAATCTCTGCGTACCACGAAAGCGAAAACTACGCGCGAGCCCAAGCAAGCATATGATCATCTCGTTTTCTGCGCGCGAAACACAATTTCTTTTATTATAGTTATTGTTTTTTTTTTGCTTTTAAATGCCGAGCTGCGCGCAACCGCTACTATATACGCGCGTTAAATGATTGTTGTTGTTTCAGCTCGCGCGCGGAGATGATGATTACGCTCTTTCTCTCTCTCTCTCTCGTGTGGAATTCGCACAGCCCAGGCTTGTGCGGTGTAGTTATTATCGTAAAAAACAACAACGTTTTGCAGACGCAGCCGACTTGCGTAGGAGAGAATACATTACGACTGCAGGGAGCTGGACATGAAAAGTTTCGTTCGTCGTTTAGAATTGAGGCACGCGTTATGTGTATGAGCGCGCGAGTGCATCCGAGTCAAAGTCGTCTGTGGGTCAAAAATGATACATGGACCTCCATAAAAACAGATTATATATGCAAGCTTTTATTAATTTTTTTGCCAACCAAAATGTTAAATTGTTTATGTACAGTTATATTCCTAGTTCAGAGTTGTTTGCCACGTTGGCCCAGTTATTTTGACCCTACAAAAAATTGTTTCAAATTCAATTTTGTGATCATTGAATAGTTACTTATTCAATAACTTTAGTAATGTTACATTCAAAAAGTTAGTTCTTAGCAGCACGCAAAATACACAAGAAGAACTCGTGTAGTTCCGTCAAAGAATATGAGGCTAAGGTGGACTCACTGTAACACGAGTTTCCCATGCGACATTGTCGCTTTGCGTAGTTTCAAGTTTTACCGCTAAATGTCACATTAAAATCCACAAGTGGAAAGAACGATTAGATTTTATAGATGATTGCTAGCCAGTATATACATGTCATCCTGAATATCCTGAACATCCTGAACATCCTGAACATCCTGATACTTCCTCTTTGTAAAAGAAAAAATAAGTTTGTTATAGCTCGTCAACGATACATACGCAAGTCGACGGTCATCTCTTTTTTCTCTCTCTCACTCTGAATCGGGCTTCTTTTTTCGCCGAATTCTTGGAAATTCCCGTGATTCAAAGTGCACTTTGAAGCCCGCGCACATATAGTAAGCATGTATCGACGAGTCTCTCCCTCTCGCTGCGGCTTTCGCGTGG